TCTTATATTGTTTAAAATATTGTATTTATTATATTCAAAGAATGAAATAGTAAATTTTTAAAAAGTGTACAAAGTCAATAGTAGACAAATATTGTTGAACTGAGAAAATATTGTAAAAAAATTAGGATATACACAAAGTGAAAAGGTGAAAGGTGGGGTCTTTGGCAGGAAATATATGAATCTAAAAAGATTCAAAGACAAGAGTAAATGGTAATGTTAAATTAGGTCTTAGGCCTAACTCGCACCCCAAAAGCTAGCTCAAAGGGAGGAGGATTGCCCAAGCCTTATAAGGAGTTCACCCATCTCATTAACCACCGATGTGAGACTTTTGTCATTCTTTAACACCCCACCTCACGCCCAATGCTTAGCATCTGGTGCGTGGGCAATTTTGATTTTGGGGGCCCCAACATCAGGTGAGACGGGCCCTGCTCTGATACCATGTTAAATTAGGTCTTAGGCCTAACTCACACCCCAAAAGCTAGCTCAAAGGGAGGAGAATTACACAAGCCTTATAAGGAGTTCACCCATCTCATTAACCACCGATGTGGGACTTTTGTCATTCTTTAACAGGTAATAATAAATTGGGGATGGGACATTGGGTTTGTGAATAGCTTGAAAATGTTTTAAATGCAAATATTACTTACGTGAAAGGGGAGGTTGGCTTTTGCCTACAGAAATGTAGCAGAAAGATGCTGTAGTGCAGATGCCATCTATGGGCTAATATGGTTGACTCATCTTTGACTTGTATTTTATTAATACTAAAACACTAATGAATGAGCTGGCTAGGGGACCACGTGATCTTGATCTCTATAACCCCATTAAATTACACTTTTAGGGTGTAGGATTAATGTATGGATGAGTTTATCTCATGTTTGATTGAGATAAAATTACGAAATAACTTATTCTCAAGCATATATACGAGCCCTTAATCTTTTATTGATCTTAGGCAATACTTTTTCTTTAGGTTGAGTCAAGGTAAAAATACAGTTTTTTTAAACATAGGATAGGATGCGCTAGTAAGAAGGCGCAAGAGGTAAGCTGTAGCAGATATTAAGAGAGGTAGTGATGGATCGAAGAAGAACTAAGAAAAGTGATTAGGCAGAATATGACATAACTTTAAGGATTGAGCTAGCCTCGTCTTTTATCTTGTCATTTTAGTAGTAGTAGTAGTAGTATTTAGTTATTGAGCAGTAGTTCTTATTGTTCGATGTGTATTAATTATTATTTGTTATTGTATTTGCTTCGTATCTTACTAACCTTTCTTTTGATCCGAGAGTTGTATATACCTTACTTGTGTAATTAAACTGGAGATATAATTAATTGTATTTTGTTCATAGTTAAAATATGTTCATTTGTGATTTATCCAGCGTGAGAATAGGACAAAGAGGATGCAGCTTTTGCAGATATTGAAAGGATACAAGTTTGAATTGAGGGTCAAAAGGAAGTATAGTATTAACCAAAAACTGAGAAGTATTAATAGGCACGCGTTTTGTATTGGTATTCAATTGAAGTGCAGCTGTCAAAATAAACCACACATCAGATGGTAACCTCTGAGTTCCACCAGGCTCCAGCTGTTCACTATCTTTTATTAGTGCAACATGCCAATAACTTTACCACACGTCAATTCTTTATTTAGTTATAAGTTTTGGACAATTTATTGGATTAATAATTAATACCGAAAAAAGTTATTCATTCCTCTAAATGGAATAATAATTTATCCGAGATAAAATTATTTAAATGACAATAATATTTCCTCAAATGCTTTTTATACATCAATTTTTACTTCATTTACACTTTTTTGGAGGGTATTTTTATAAACAAATAATTTACTCTTGGAAATTATGCAATGCATATTATTTTTAATACAACAAACCAATGTTCATTAAGAAATGATTCTAGAATAATTAATCTCAACATAGATTGGAATATTTATTATAAGTTGATAAAGTGTTCAATGAAACATGATTTAGTTTGAATAAAATATTTTGATAAATTTAATAAATTGATTCTGTATTTTGAAAAAGAGTAGGTCAATCGAGTTGTTCCTATATTGAAGCCTGTGGACAAGACCTCTCATGAAAACATTAATGGAAATGTTAATTTTCATAAGAAACACTACTTATATGGAACTTGCACAAATCTATTTATGTAAATGGATATTGTAGGATACACAACAAGTTGTTCATATTTTGGGTTGTTTTCCGCTACTTAGATAATTTTCATGTGCAAACTTTACATTGTTGAGCATAGCTAAGCTAGCCCACCATAATTTTATCCATACAGAATTAGCAGCTTTCATGCATTCATGGGCCTCCCACGTGAAGTATAGGGCCTGAGTTATCTTTGGGGAAAACTACATAAATGGCCATAAAATCTAAAATAATTATAAGTTTATACCCAAATTCAAAGTAATTTCTGAAATACTCATTCTCTCATAAATAATTACAGTCCATATCCCCCTTAAATGATACTAAATCAGTATCATATATTGTATTGGTATAATTAAGGTTGATAATTTCGCTTAACTGATACTAAATCAGTATATATATACTGTATTGGTATATTAATGTTTCTTGTTCAGAAATTACTTATTAGTCAATGATACTATAAAAGTATTTATGTATATTGTTGTGGTATCATTAATGTTTCTTGTTCAGAAATTACTCATTAGTCATTAGTCAATAATACTATAAGAGTATATATATATTATTTTTTTTATTTTTTTTTATTTTTTTTACATATTTTTTTTATTTTTTGTGGTATCATTAAAGGTTTGGAAAAATTACATAAGTGAAGGTCTTTTATTAAATAATTACCACTTTTAAGTATACTTTTAATTTATTATCATTTTTGTCAACTTTTAGCAATACTTACTTAAAACAATTTTGTTCCTTTAAACTTAGCAAAAAGTGTTGTCATTCGCAACTTTTAGCAATATTGTCATTCAACCAAATTGTTATATATGGTTAAAAGAATAATGTTGACATATATTGTAAATATTTTTCAAAAAGTGTACACGTAAGTGATTTTCCCTTAAGGTTTCTTGTTAAAAAATTACTCATTAGTCAATGATACTATAAGAGTATATATATACTCTTATAGTATCATTGATGAGTAATTTCTTAACAACAAACCTTAATGATACTAATACAATATATTATATATACTGATTTAGTATCAATTCAGTGAAATTATCCGCCTTAATGATACCAATACAATATATATGATACTGATTTAGTATCAGTTAAGCGAAATTAGTAAATGGGATATATAGTGTAATTATTTAGTAGGGTATAAATGTAAAGGGGTATATGTTTGTAATTATTTTGCTTTTATGGGGTATTTGCTTATTTTACCCTTATCTTTGTTTAATTGGGAGTCAATTGGTAACTTTTTGTCTACGTCGAAACTTAAAAATTGACTTTTACTGTCATTATTATTAATTATTATTATTATTATTATTATTATTTCATGCGGTGAAAGGGTATTCTGAAGTAATCGATGAGGCAATTTCTTAGGAAGGTGCATATTGCTTTGTAAAGAATTCGTGTGCACCCTTTTATGGTTGGACTTTGTAATTTTGAATGATTAATTTGTTATTGATAAGATCAAGAAAGAGTAGATTAAATGATTTTAATTTGCTGAAACCCAACGTAAACCCTGTTTCACATTTCACGTGGATACCAGCTTAAACATCAGATTTACTTAATTGAGAAGCATCATTTTAATATATTGAAAGAACTACTTATTTCGTTTTTTTCAAATAAAGTTGTGTTTTTATTTTTCATTTCATTTTAAAATAAATGGCTAAATATAGTTAATATATTACTTATTTTGAAACAAAATTAGTACTTCTACAAATGAATTGATTTCTTAAGGGGTGTGCACAAATTAAAAACATCACTTATTTTGAAACGGATGAATGAATAGTTTTCTTGCCTAAGTTATTTTGGAACGGAAGGAGTATATATATTTTATTTTATTTGAAATAAGTAGTTTTCTTAAGAGGTACTTATGTAAATTAAAAAAATTCTTTGATTTGAAACAGAGAGATTAATAATGTGCTCAAATATTTTAGTGAATAATTGAGCTTGGATTGCGCATTGAGATGCTCGATTCTAATTTCTAACTCATACGAATGTTTATAAATTTAATTTATGTTTCATTTGCAGACGAACCCTTGATAACACCACCAGACTATTGTATGATTTTAATTTGTTCAAATTAGTAAGCTTAATTTTTATTTATGAGTTGTCACAACATATAAACTGTACTGACCCTCATTCTCTTTTCTTGGCATAATCCCTTCGATCGAAAAAAAATTAAAATCCATTTAAACCTTTTGAATTTGAAAAAAGAATACATCTCATTTATTTACCTCTTGAATAGGACACTAAATTAAACCTTTTTTTCTAACAAAACTTTTATGGTGATTGGCGAAGAAATAGATGATCCAACTTTTAACTGAGAATAACGATAGACCATTTCACATAATTCAAGAGTAAAGTTGACCTTTTATAGATTGATCAAGAGATTGACGCATGAGACTTAAATTAGTGTTTGTTTAGACCTGATTTATTTTCTTAAAAAAGTAAAAATTAAGACGACATTTGATTATACATTTGACTGATCTTGTGAAGATAAAAGTTTGATTCAAGTTATTAGAGTGAGTAAAAGTCTGATATTGATTGAGGAATGCATTGATAGTCTCCTTATATGGATTTGGATAAAATATTGCCCTGGTGAGCTAATTTTTTTTTGTGTGTTTTCTACCGTAGTGCAAGCTACTCTAATAAATTTTTTAACTCTTACAAGATTTCTTGGGAATGATGTTTTAGGTACGTTTTGACACTACAACATTTCTTGAAACAGATGTTTTGCACCCGTTAAATTAGGACATTGTACCATTTACCAAGAGGAACAATTCATTCATTTTCTTCAAAATAAATATAATGTATCCAACGGCTCATCAAGACAACGACAAATTCTCCGGTGAAGGATATAATCCAGGTCCAATGAAACAACCTTATGTTCCTCCTCACTATGCATCTACCCCCGGTATGCCGGTGCATTCTCCCGGCGCTACCACGGCACGGTGGTCAACGGGTCTTTGCCACTGTTTTGATGACCCTGCTAACTGTTTAGTTACTAGTGTTTGCCCTTGTATCACCTTTGGACAGATTTCTGAAATACTAAACAAAGGAACAACTTGTAAGTATTGTATATACACATTAATAGCATTTTTTGTTGTTGGATAAATTGATATTTGGTTACCAAGAATATCAGATGTTTGTGTTGTTTTTTTATGTTAGCATGTGCGAGTAGAGGTGCATTATATGGTTTGCTGGGACTGACAGGATTGCCTAGCCTATATTCCTGCTTCTATAGGTCCAAAATGAGGGGGCAATATGATCTGGAAGAGGCACCTTGTGTTGATTGTCTTGTACATGTTTTCTGTGAACCTTGTGCTCTTTGCCAAGAATACAGAGAGCTTAAGAACCGTGGCTTTGATATGGGAATAGGTAATTATTATATATTATAAGTTTATATAATCTGTAAATATAAATAAGATTTTCGCTATATCGACAATAATTTGTGTTGCAGGGTGGCAAGCTAATATGGATAGACAAAGCCGGGGAATTACGATGCCCCCTTATCATGCAGGCATGACCAGGTGAAATGTATGCTTTTGTGGTTGGATTAATATCCTGCAGCTAAATTAATTTTTTTCCTTGTAATAAGATGATTTAACTTTGACAAGCTTTACAATTTACAAGTGTCTTGACAATGCTTTCCATGTATGTTCTTCTGGCTATGTGTTATTAAGTTTGAAAATATATTTTGATTTTAATTTATCCTACCAATGAAACCATTAAAACATGAATCCATGAGCAACATATATATATATATTCACATTAACTATTTGCTTGTAGGACAACAAAAACCGAAAAAATTATAGAGAACAAACAAACTGAAGAACTAGAACAAAGGAAAGATACATACCAGTACTGTACTATTGTTATACTTATCAGTATACAAAGAAGGAAAGGATAAACAAATAAACTTTCTAGCACACTGTTTTAATTGCTATAGTTTGAGTCTCCACATCAACACCAATCAACTCTCTAGCTCTCTGGGCTTGTATCATCCAATCAGTTCTACTCAACACAAAAACCATGAGACATGCACAAACACCTTGAGCAGCCAACAAGCCCAAACAAAGGCCCAACAACCCCATCTTCATAACAAAGCCCAGTACAATAGCTAGAGGCAACCCAACACCATAGAAAGAGCCCAAGTTTATATGAACAGCCAAAGCCGGCCTTGCACTGCCCCTCAAAGCACCACAACCGGTGGTCTGTGGGCAGTTGCCCAACTCACACAACCCCACCACCGGCATTGCTGCTGCTGTCAGCCACAAAATCGACTCGTCGTCTGTAAAAGCCTTGCCCCAAGCATTTCTTAGTGTTGTCATAAATATCATTGCTAATAAGCTTGTTAATGTAGCGCACAAAATTGCTACATGACATGAAGTCTTTGCTTTATTAGGCCTATTGGCTCCCAACTCATTCCCAACTCTTGTTGAAACAGCTAAACTTAATGCTGAAGGAAATATATAAGCAAGTGAAGTTGCCTGCAAGAGAATTCCCATAGTAGACACAGCCTCTGCAGCATTTAAAAGAACCCCTGATAACAAAATCATCAACTCATACCACCACCACTCTAAGCATACAGAAATACAGCTAGGGACAGCAAGAATCAAAATTGGTTTCCACCCTTCAAAGCATTCAGTTGACCAACCTTGCCAAGATTTTCTATGAACACCAGAAAAACTAACATAAAGAAAAAGAACACCAAGGAGATTAAAATCAGCTATCACCACAGCCATAGCAACACCTTTAATACCAAGGCCAAGGTGATAGATAAGGAAATAGTTTATAGGTGCATGCAGGGCAAGTGAAAAAGCAGCACTAAAAGTAACAGGGAAAGTGACATTCTGAGTTCTCAAGTAGATTTTGAGAGGATTGATAATGGATTGAAAGAAAAGATTAGGGAGACAAAAGGACAGATAAGTAGAAGCAATTGATGAAATGGTTGGATCTTGGCCACAGAAAAGGAGTAAAGGTTCAATCTTTATCCACAAGAGAGAAATGGGGATAGATGAAAATAACAGAATCAAGATTGTACGTTGGAGAGTTTGACCCATAAGAGGCCATTGTTTAGCACCACAAGCTTGAGAAGATATAGCCTCCATACCCATAGCTAGGCCAGACAGAACAGAGAAGCCAGTGATATTAGCTATGCCAATAGATAAAGATCCACCAGCAAGTGCTTCTTTACCTAATCTTCCCATAAACAACATTGATATCATTGATTTTCCATATACAAGCAATCCAGCAGCAATGATGGGAAAAGCTATTGAATATAGCAACTTCACCTCCTCCACAACCTAGAAACATACATTCCAATTAATCTCAAGATTCAATTTCTAAACATTTTCTCTTCAAAAAAGGATTTATTTTTTATAAAAAACGCTAACCTCAGAACTGGTTGGTCGTTGATGAGTTTGATCTTGTTCATCCGGATTCGTTGTACTTGTACCTGCATGAATTGATTTCAACCTCGGAATACTAGGATCCATCAGCAGAGGTGTTGAAGCTGGTAGAGCCATCACGAGTGTTGAAAATCAACACAAGGTGCACAGAAGCTAATAAAGAAACGGTTGAAGGACGATTAATTAATATAGAAAGGGATCATAAACATTCTATCGTTGTCAGCGAGAGAGAGTAGAGAGAAGAGAGAATTGAAGTACTAGTGAGTAGTTTCAACATCTATTTAATAAGGAAAATGTACATGGTGTTGATATGTATCAGTGGGTGAACAGTAAGCTTCGGTGGTTTAAAAATGGAGCGATTAGAGAGTGAGACAGAGGAAAGATAAGGTGGAAAGTGTACATGGGGAAAACCTTTGTCCTTTCTCTACTTCAATCCAAATCTTTGTTGGAATCCATGCAAAGGCCAAATTTCAGTAAGCTGTCATCTCATCTCTTCGTCATTAGATTCTTTGCCTTTACATTTCCTTTCTTTCTTTCACTTCTCCATTTTTTATTTCACTTTTCATACTCTAATCTAATTCTTGATACTTAGTCTTTGTGTTATAAAGCTAACAAGAAATCAATTGAATAATCAAATCTTGTGCAAACTGACATAAATATATCATTTTACCAAAAAAGGTACTAAAAGAAATATGACAGTAAAAATCTTCACTACTATAAATAGTATAGTAAACTTAAGTAGTACTTAGAGAAAAAATGAACCTGGAACGACTAGTTAGAATACATCATTCACTAAAAAAATTAAAAATTACATCATTCACTTGGTAACAGAATCTGAAAAAAGAATGACTACCTGCTATAAAAAAAAAGAAGATAAAACCTCTAATAAATTGCAAAATATTTTCTTTATTAATTTACTTCAAAATAAAAGAGAAAGGTACGTTGAAGCACTTTACTATATAAATATCAAGTGGTAATGGTTTGAGATTAATTTTTATTTTTAATCACATAAAATACAAATTTAATCTCGAACTTAATCCTGAATATCCCATTAATTAATTCAAAAATTATAAATCTCAAAGACTATAACTTTGTCCAAGAAGCAAATGACCTCTCACATCTCACACTATATATATATATATATGGAGCGGCAATAAATGTCATTCCTGCGTTACCATAAACTCGAATCCAAAGATCAAATGCAATAATTTAGGCCCTCTTTCATCTAGGGATTTACAACATCTATGGGTGAGGATTTAAGTGAAGGAAAGAGGCATCGATGTATATGAAAACTCTCAATGCATTGCACGTGTAACACATCACTTGTCGTTGCTAAGAAGATTCATGGAAGATATGTATACATACATGAACCATTCAAACGGCAAAAGCAGGTCAAACTCTACGTTACTCGTGCGCCTTAATTTGGACTGGAGTTTAACAGAATTTGGTATTAACGTAACTCAAACTCTTGCCTAACTGCCAAATTCTCAAGAACCTTATTAATCATTGCTCTATCGTTCGTATTAATAAAACTTAAATACACTCGATGCTTAGCTTCTAGGCATTATTATAGAGGGTAAAATGGGTATTGTCCAGATGCATGAACAAATGATATGACGACACATAATATTTATGAAAGGGTAGTCAGGGAGGGTTAAACGAACCCTCCAAAGACCGAGCCTAGGAATGAAGTTCAGCTCAGAAGGGTCCCGAAATCCACATCACCAAGACCGGTGCCTGAGCCTCACTAACATAGCCTACCTAGCTCCGGAAAGGCAGAATGGATTCAAACTACATATTCTGCCTTGTTATATTATGACACATATAGGCAAACATTAATTATGTTATTCTTAATCAAGAATTTTTTATATAGCTATAACGATTCTTATAGATTGTGAACACTAATTTGTTAAGAAATAAATGAATTAATTAAGAATATAATGTCATTATTTGTTGAAATTGAAATATTACGATAAGAATAGGATAAGCTTATCATCCTGAAAATCACAGAGAGGTATATTTATCTGTCTCTTGCACCATAAGTCCATTGCACCAAAGACTAGTGAATTTTAAATGCTGTGTTGCAACACCAGGTTCATATGAACCAAATAATTTCAAACGCAAAGTATGAATTCATGTATAAAATCCACTAATATCACAACAAAGTTAATCTGAACCCATCGTATTAAAGGGGATTTAATGTTATAAAGTATTAAATGTTGAATTCACAAAATTTTGATTTTGAATACGACTTGCAACATGGATTATGTTGATATTATCATGGCCATGTGTTAGTCATAAAGTAGCAATATACTTTTCTTTCCTTAAAATTTAATTTCAACTTTGGCTGAAATTGCTGTTACAATACCAAACTTTATGGAGAACCTTTTACCCCTGCACTATTTAATAGTGCAGGGGTAGAAGGTCCTTTCCAAAGTTTGGTATTGTTACAACAATTTCGGTCAAAGTTCGGATATATTTCAGATTTTTTTCCCAAATTTAAAAGAAGCGTATTATTGACGGAAGCCAAGATAATGAGTCTCTCTAAATCTCAAAAGCAGTATGCATAGGTAGGGCACCTTAGTACCAGCTAAATTGTTGTATCAGGAGAAGTAATCCATGTCAAAGGTGCAGATGATATTTCCCCTTTTTGTCATAAAACTTTAGGGACCATGTATTGTCCATCTTCATTGTGTTCCCTTTCTTCCCTTCCATAGGACAGGATCTATCTCTATCAATATCTCCCACAGTTGATGAAAGAAAGAGACGCACAACAAACACTTAGACTAAATTACCCGGAACAGGCAATCAGATTTCACGTGACACTTCGTCGAAATTTTCATCAAACAATTGCTTTGCATGTCACCTTCAAATGTGGGGACCCAACCCTCCTGATTATTGCATGAAATTGATAATTCTTATCCTACTTGCATTAGTCATATTCCCAACTGCATGGATTTTCTCAATCAACTTCCCATCATTTATTGACAGTGCACTAAGCTCTAAAATATGAACCACTTACTAAGACATATTGCTGGAGGCATAGGTCAAATACTTGATATATAGCAACCCTTCCATTATTTGATACAATATGTACAGAACAATGGGATACAAGTCCAGATACCAGTAAAACATAACCTCCTCGGAGTCGGAGAGAGGAGGTCTACAGGTTACATGAGAAATTATACATCTCCCCGAGTTTTTTGCCCAAGGCATTCGCAGTGGAAGACTTGTCTTATGAGTCAAAATATTTAGGTAACTTTTCAGTCACAAAAATTATTGAGCAATTCTACCTGATCCTTAAGGCTAAGTTGAGTAACTTTTTTATCACAAAATAGTTTAGAGACTTTGATGCAATAAAGTAAAATTGAATGAGCATCCGTGCAATGACCGCTAGTACTATTGGAATGCAACTATTCGGCTACACAAGTTACTTTTTGGGAGGAATTGTAATGGTACGATGTGAAGTATTGGGATTGAGGGGAATAATTCCACTTCTTTTTGCCGATCCGATCAAAGAATTAATGAACCTTTTCTTCTTTCTTATAAATGGTAAAAAGTGTAGATTGTAGAGTAAAATCACAACTAGAACTAAGCAATCAGCATTGGGAAGAAACTACATAATTAGACAAGATCCAAATTCTTAGAGTGAAAGTCATTTATGTTTGGTTTTCCCTCAAGACTAGGCGAGGTTTAATTCTTGGAACAATCAAGTGAAGACACCTTGCAACCTTTCGCTTTTTTAATCCCATATTTGGTTTAGGAGATTAAGATCAAGTTAAGGATTGAAAGTTCAACTGTTTTCCAAAAACATACTGGCATGTTGCAATCAATCATTTTGCAAGATTTATCAAGAATGTCGCAGCTAATTGGGCATAAAACTTTACTCGGGAACAATTCAGGGGATCTACCTGTATATGAAATTAGACATCGACTAGGGAAACGAAAACAACCTGGTGACAAATACATCTTAACTTCCCACAAAAATAGTCTTGTTTTTCAATAGCATTGTTTCGCTTCTTTCTTCTTAGTAATTTCTTCCAACTCTGCATTTATAATTCTGTTCCTCCATCCCCATACTCACTGCAATCTCTTCGAATGGGGAGAAAAGTCATATAATGTAAACAGACAGAAGACTTTGAGGGATTGAGAGTAAACCACAGTTAAATATAGTTAGCATAGTTAAAATGCAGGTTAAAATCCAAAAGATTTCAACAGGAAGCTTCAAATGTGATATAGTAAAGCTGTTGGAGCCAAGATTTTAATGGGTTAGTTATCTTCAAAGCAGACACAAAAGTAACCTATTTAACAGTGTGGGGACTAACCGCTAGACCTTAAAAAAATGTGCTCCACATCTTGCAACTAATTCATTTATCTGAGGCCTGAGAAGGTCAATTCCAAGATTTTCTTAGAAAACTCGCAATGAAATTATTTGGCTTCAGACAATCTCCAGGTTCCAACGAATCACTCTTTGAATGGGGATAAAAGATACATAATGTAAAATATAGAAAAGACTTGGTCCAAACTGACTAAGATAATAGTAATAATGTAATACATACTACTTAGTAAACAGATTGAATAAGTTGCTCTCTTTTGTCTGTATACTATTATTCTCTTTTCCTTCTATCAACTTCTTTCCTCTCATAAAATTGGAATTACAATATCACAAACACTTAACACATTTACCATCTCTATGCCTATTACATGACCAAATCATTAAAGTTCAACAACAATACTAGAAGTCCTCAAGTCGAAATCTTGTAATTCCAAATGTATGGCCAATTGGCCATATCAGTTGGGAGCAAAGAAGATAAGTTGTCCCTCCCCTTTCTCATGCAATATAACCCATGACGGAAAACTGTGATAGTGTGCCAGTTGTTAAAGCTAATATAACCAAGTTCTGTGGCCTCATTTGTGAAAGATAGTGGAAATTCAAGTCACAGTTGAAGAGTAAAGTCATGAGAATGACTAAAGCTAAGAACGAGAAACATTGGTTGGCAGCAAAGCATCACGAATCCCAAGGATAACGGGACCCTTTTAAGGCATAGCCCCATAGTAGGCTTGAACTCATGAATGCAACTTTCTAAATTCTAGTTCTAGCTACCAGTTAACTAGTCAAAACTGGACTTCATGCATCAATGAACAACATTGACAAGGCTCAATAAAGATCTTACCTCTTGAACATCTCAATTGCTCTAACGTAAACCTACAAACAATTCGAAACTTCTCTAATTCATATTTCGTGTATGTACCTTCAGAGTTCAGACTAAAATGAACAGCTACTAAATCTCACTAAATCTGTATAGCCCCTCCCTAATGACATAGGCAAGGAGCTATATTACGTTAGAATTGATGAAGATGAAAATCACATTCACCCCCAACCCCCAAGAAAAAGGCTCAGGTAATCAACCGTCATCTCATAATTGACAAAGCATGGAATAGGATCCCAATTCAACAACAGAACTCTACTCAGGTAAGCCAAATGACAGTCTGATGTAGTACTACAGAAGTGTGGAATTTTTTTAATCATATACCTAATTACTTGAAATCTCATGGGTTCAGATCACATCCGCAGGGCCTCATCTCTTCACAGTATCTCAAAAATCTGCTCAGAAGCATGTGCACAAGTTGACAAACAAACAATAATGAGATTATCAGTGAACTTCAAAAGAATGGAAATACGAGACAATTGTGCTCATATGCATCCGCAAATGGCAATACAACAACATTGGGTCCAAATAACTCATAATCCCATTCCTGGCTTCACACTGATGTTTCCATGCAATAATAAACAGCAAGAACCAAATTAAGAACTTACATTAATGGGCATTTCTGCTATGAAAAGACCACTACTTTCTTCAATGCTTTTGAGAGTAACAACTTCGCCTCCAACAACCATGTTAATCACGATTCCATCTGCATATGATCCAGAAACTTATGTGATATGTTCAAGAATAATAAAGCTAACATGACACTATACAATCAACTACGTAAAAAATAAGGTGGGGGAAACGGGCTGTTGGATGACATCCTTCTTAATTGACTCCATTGAAGAAGAAGTATTATAAAGGAGATGTGAAAAATAATTATGTTCTGTCTTGTTTTTCTTTACTTCCATCCTCTTATTCCTTTCCTCAAGTCTAATCTGCTCTTTTGTCAAATTCAGTTCTATAGTATGGAAAGAGAACCTGCTGCCAAGCAAGTAGCCATGCGCCTCATATATGTTTCCTACATAAGAGCATAACAACAAGGTTAGTGCATTTGAAAGTCCTGGGGTACAGGTCACAAATTCAAAGAATTAAATGCAACTGTCAAGTGAAGTAGACTATTTCTTTCACTATACATGTTTTTTCTAGGCCAACTTCCACCAACAATTTCGAGGATCACATTTGGTTCCTAAAGAACAGAAATGAGACACTAATAAGATTTAAAGAATTAAGAACATAAGTTTCTTTTCAGCCTATGATACATATTATACTCATGAAAAAAGAGAACTGTGAAGCCGAAATACCTCAATAAATTCAATCCCCATTAACGAGTATATCGAGTTAATTGTTTCACACATATATTGATTTTCAGCTACAGTGATCGATTTTATCTGAGCTGATTATGAACAAGTGTAAAGTGGAGCCATATATGTGGCCAAATGAGATATCTGTCTCTAATACAGTAAATGGAGGCAGCATCTGGGCTGTAGCCCAAGCTTATGAGTCCAGTTCTTCATTAAATTGACAAGGCCCACTTTATTATTTATCAACAGCTTACAGGTGCTGTGCAGCTTATTAGTTGTTCGTGCATATCATCTAGATGATTTTGTTTTAGCTGAAATCGGTACTAATATATGTTTACATTCATTCACAGCTTTGGCAACTCTTCCAGATGTTCATCTTCTTCATACACAAATATAGAAACTACACTGTGATGTTTATATTCTTCACCAAATATCTCAAATTGATGAAAGATTTCACCCGACGTGGTATCAGAGAAAATTCAGGGTCTGACAAGATCTTCATGAAAATTTTTCTTCGATTGATATTAGGGTTTTGCAATCACAGCAAACCTCAAGTCAGTACTTGCATGTCAGGATACTCCGGAGCAATTAATTGTTTTTTTTTCGTGTTTAAGACTTGAAAGTCTCACTAGCTGCTCTTGTTCACCTTTGGTTCTTCTTGTTCATCATTATTACTTCTCAGCCTAATCAGCATATGCCAAATCCTTAAAATTCCTCCTGTCCTATGAACCCGTTTGTATATATACACACATCAAGTAATCCTGGAACATGGTGGTGTGCAGTCTCTTGATGTAAACGGGTTTGGTGGATGGCGAAGAATCATTCTCACATTGCAGTGAACTAAGTTGCTCGGACTCTTCACTTTATGTGCCGCACCCGTGCAACACGACGTGGGTAGGGGATCTATACGGGTTCTAGTCAATCAGTTCTTGGTACATTGAGCAAAAATCGATAGAGAAATTTGAGACAACACGATGATTTCTGATATCAAAACAAAAGCTAAGGTGAAATTATAAATTAGGCGTACTGTTTTTTTTATTGCTAAAGATATTTGTATAAAAAAAGTCAGCAACAAGAAGATGCCTTAAAGATATTTACAGATCAAGATCACTGTTGAATGTGCAATGAACTCAAGAAGTTTATCATGGCTTCTATATCATTCGTAATAGCCATATTACACTAAAAAAACAGTTAGAAGATGCATACATACTTTATTAGAGTTACATATTCAAACTTGCTCTCCGAAATTCATGCATTTCTTTCCTTCCAAATACCCATATTACACCATACCAAATATGGTGTAATATTACACAATATTTGGTGTCCTTCTCTTAAAAGACTGTGCCTAGACATTAGAATTATCTGCATTTTGATACTAAATTCTTACTTAATCTCACTTCAACTTCATTCCTCTTAAGAAAGCTAAACTTACTATGAATAAATTATATTCTATTTCTATTTATCCTAATATCCTCAGTCTCTAAAGTACTTTCAATACTACTTCAAACTCGTGAGAGCATTTGCACAGAGTTCGAGCTTTTCGTTTTAAATTTGGAATCCTCGCGACCTAATCTAAGAGCTCAATGGCTCCAATTTGATAGTTATTCTAACTGTTTTGTTTATCTAGTATTATCATCATTTAAAACCTGGAGGTACATACCAACTCTCAAAAAATATGAATTCAACATGTTATGTCTATGTATGTACTTCTAACGTAATTTTCGATTTCACTTTCTAACAAAGATAAATAATCAGCATGTCGTGGGTGGATGCTTCACACAGAATCCAAAAGGAGGGAAGTAATGGACATCAAAAGCTGGAAGAACTAAGCAGGTCTCAGTTTACAGTGGTCAATCGGTGCCAGAAAGGAATAAGCAGATCTTAGAAATTTATGCTTTACTTGAACCTACTCTTTAAAAGTTAGCTTTCTCTTTTTCTAAATTCCAAGCCGTGAACAGTATTGTCGTTTCACACAAGTCCACCCGAGTGTTATGATCCAACAATTAAAAGTCGCACCTCTAATTAACAAACCTTCAAGTCCCATGAGCAAGAGTTATTAAAATGTTGAAAAGAATGATCAAGGAAATGTAAAGCCTGCAAGAAGAGTACCTTCTTTGTTGGTAGCTCGTAATTAATCAAGATACGAGCATTCATAGGTGACTCCCCAGAGTTAACGAGGGGAAGGCAAACATCCGTGACAACTATCAAATGACACTTCTCCTCTTCCTTCTCTGTTTCCCCTGTATCCTGCTTGATCCACCTCATTGTAGCTTGACGAAAACTAGCTAAAACTCTTGCACGTTCTGCTTCAGGAAGATCACTGTACTGCAATTTCACATATATGTTCAATCAATCAACTAACCCTCGATCCCAACCTAGTTGAGACTCTCCATGTCGATTCCCCTCTGTTAAGACTAATTTCATTTAAATAACATGTTCTTCATTCAATCGATCAGCCAGCTATGACTCAACTTCAAAGTTCAACCCTACCTGTATCCGTTATATGAATACTCTGTAATTATCTAAGTCCCATAACAGATTATCAACGTTGATTTAACAATTTAATTATAAGCCAATTTGCAACAAAGAGGAAAACAGATTGAGAGAGAACCAGAGCGTCGATTGTAATATGTGAGATACTGGAAAGAGCGGAGAAGACAGCGTCGAGCTCGTCACGTGTGCTGCAGCTAACTACAATAGGTATGGACCAAAGCCGGCCAGCCATGCCCAATAGATCCACCAAAGTCTCCTGTTTCATTTCAGTTTCAATAAGTATAAAAAGCTAATGGCTGACGGAATTGGAGAATAGGAAGGGTTACCATTTTGAACTGAAGTCTATCGACGGCGAGGTAGAAATGACGTTGCTGGCTGGAATTGAAGCTTGATGGAGAAGTCGATAATGGAGCTTCATTGGGCTCCATCAATGGCTTCTGAGACTTTTGCTTCGCTGAACAATTGAAGAAAAAATTCACTGCTTACCGGATTAAACCTTCAATTTCCCTGCAGTAATCTCCCAGCTGAGCGTGTACGCGTTTTCAATGTTCCCAGAGATTACCAATATTCTCCTCGAAATTCAATTAGTATAAAATACTTTTTCGGGCTGTTTTCCTTTCTTTACAAATTTTCCCCAAGTATTTTGTACATAAATTTAACTTCCAAGTATAATAACTTTAAAAATGGGATATTTTAAAAGTAAATTACTCAGGTTAAACACTCATAAGTATAATACAAAATATAACTCAGTCCCTAAATTTATCAGAGTATTTCATTTACACACTCAAAGTAAGATATGTTTCGATTGAACACTTCAACTTCTAATAAGGTATTTTAATTAGATACTATTATATTTATCAAAATTAAAATAACACAATTTATGTTTATCAAAAGATTTCGCACAATAAATTTCTCTGAAAAACTTATTAGAGCACGTTTTGAAAGTTATATTATAATTGAAACTTGATATAATTAAGAAGTATATTATTATTATTATTACTATTATTAATTATATATTGTATAATTATTAAAACATCGTAATGTTTTAGTAATTACAACAAGGAGGTAACTTTCGTCTCTGTATATTATTTTAACACAATTTTATCTTGTCACTATAGTATCCACATTACAAATGTAACAAACCAAAATCTTCACTATACTAATAAAAGCACTGGAACACTATTACAACTTTAAGATTTTAACTACAATAATCAAACTACCAAATAACAATGGAAATATTGAAATAATAAGTAACTAAAGATAGAGATAAGAACGGATATGAGAAACTTAGACTCTAGAAGAAGAGGAGATGACAAACATTTTCTTCAATATGCATAAACCCTTCTTTCAAACTCATTCTTCCTTTTAACCAAATGTTAATTGGACCTGGATCCCAAATAAAACACTCCAACATTTTATTTGACCCAATCTCATTCACCACTTCTAACTCATAGACCTTTATAGAGCTAACTTGGTTCACAACAATACACCCGTCCCCAAAAAGAACCTTGTCCTTAAGGTTCGAGTAAGGAAATGTTATCTGGAAACTTGGAGTATAATGAGCTTGGCTAGAGCAGGCAAAACCATGTAGGAATAACATCATAATTTGGTTGGCAGCTTGGGGTAGTCTAGACATTGTTGCATAATTTTTGCTTACCTTTGGAATAACATGGCAAAGAAGTTTAATAATGTGAGATGTGTCTAAAAAAAACAATGCACAGAAAGATCTTACCCAAACTTATAGAAGCACTACTAGCAGCAACATAAAGGATCTTTATCATACTTTCTAACAACAAATGACACATAAAACTAGCAATGGTTGCAATGCCCTTCTTATTCCATTCTTCCTTAGTAGCAAGTCCTTTAATAACAACTTAAATATTCACCTTGACGCATTGATGAATACTGTTAGAAACTCGCATTCCACCAAATCTCTCCATTGGAACTGATATCAACCAATTACAACCACACGTTTTCTGATTTACAGTAAAATTCTTCGACATTATCAACTGGAGTTCAGGTATAACCTTCCCGGCAATCACACACTTGTTCAAGAGGATTATAAAAATTAATGTCGTACCAAAGCCATGAGGTAATCTTTGGTGTGTAGCCCATTCTACCATCTCAAGGACCCCATAAATGTTACCTGCAGAAGGGTGCTCAACCTGAAACTTTACCTTATATCCACTCCCTAATACTATTACTTTGCACTCCAGTAACATGGTAGCAAGCATAATTATATAGTAAAGGTGCAAAACTAATGTGTGCTTGAAGTTAGCTGCCAAAACCTCATGTTTTATATCATAGTAATACTTATGTAAGACTAGTGTATATGCAATCGACGGACAAGTGAACAAAATGCAGTTATAGACAATGAAGCACTCATTGGACAAGTAGGAGTTTACACACCGTGATTGTCCAGGATCCCATACTCTACTCGTAAAGTTTGAATAGGCAATTAGGAAAAACCTGACAGTACACCTTAGAAATAGTAGTTCCTTCGCGTTGTATACTGTATAACTTGTTAGAGCCCTGAACTTGAAACGTATTCCTAGATCCCAGACACAAGGATCCACTGACATCGCTGGAATGGTTACAGTCAGAAAATTAGCAGCAGGAGCCAATAGAAATGGACTCAACTTATGTTGACCGTCGAATTCCTTAACAACTTTTCTATTGTCAGCTTCAAGATATACGTCAACATAATGCATCGCACTTGTTAGAATGGAAACCACATTCCCCAGAAAAAAGTTATCAAGACTTAGAACTTCAACAATCTTTTTGCCCTGAAAAGATATTGTTATACTTTTGCCAATCAATAGGTCACTATCTACCTCGTCATGTATCACAGTAAGTGTAGAGTGTATACACTAGAAGAAATTGTGCTTGACCCCGTTATTCAACCCAAAAAAATGGCACTCCCTAGAGACAAAGCCAGACTGTCGTATATCCTGCGCACCTATACCAAACAACAAAAATATCAAAAGATTGCACTCCTACCCAGTATCAATCAATTGCATTTGGGTGGCGAAAATCAAGGCAAAACAACACTTCAACTTGGTCAGCCCAATGAAATTCTTCAAGAGAATCATGCCAACAGGGAACTGTGCGAAGCCATATAATATCAGCAAATGGATAGTCAATTTCAACAAGTCGAGACCTTGCATTTGATATCACAGTACCTTGGCAAGCAAACACAACCAACAAACCAGATGTATGCAGTGAAGGAGATTTTTCAAACAACGCTATATTATCGTGTGAATTTTCCTTCTCATCACTATTTGATCCGTCCGTATCATGCAACACTGTAAGAGGTAACTTCATTTCGTTGTTGAAGCTATCATTGTACACCTTGTCTACTGTAGTTACAGAACGTTCAACCTCATGCAAAAATAGCTTTTTAGACCATGAATGTTATAACTCACTATTGTGTGGGAAATTTCATCGAACACTTGATCTTCGGTAATAAAAGAAGGTTCATGTACCAAATTGGCCTTTACTGAGTTTGCATTCCCAATTTGTGGAGTCTCAATTTCTTCAAATGGTTCAACTTCAACATCATTTTTAGTAATCAATGCCACAGACTCTACAAATTTATACTTCACTGGCAATTTATCGAACACATGGTCCGTTTGTGAGCTTCCAGTGTCATAGGCTGAGGTAGATGATTGTAGAGAATTAGCTAGACGCTCCAACACTTCTCTATTGGTTTGTTGTCGAAAATGCTGGGCGAATCTATCCTTGAAATGCTTCCAATCAAAAAATATCTTGTTGTGAAACAACCAATTGAACCAGGTTAGAGCTTCACCATCAATATAAAATGAAGGAAGAGGTAACCAATACTTCTCGTCAAAGCCAAGGAAGGTGAAGTACTGCTCCGCCCGAAAAAGCCAGCCCTCTGGATTGCCGGTGCCACAGAATCGTTCCAATATCACCACTTCCACTAGAGTACGAAAATGAAAGCACCAATGTAACAAATCGAAATCCTCGCTATATTAATAATAGCATTGGAACACTATTATAACTTTAAGATTTTAACTACAATAATCAAACTACCGATTAACAATGAAAATATTGAAATAACAAGTAACTAAAGATAGAGATAAGAACGAATATGAAAACTTAGACTCTAGAAGAAGAAGAGATGACAAACATTTTCTTCAATATGCATAAACCCTTCTTTCAAACTCATTCTTCCTTTTAACCAAATGCTAATTGGGCCTAGATCCCAAATAAAACACTTAAACATTTTACTTGGCCCAATCTCATTCACCACTTCTAACTCATAGGCCTTTATAGAGTTAGCTTGGTTCACAACAACAAATGTAACGTTTTTGTTGTTATTCTTAGATTGTGTATAAGTAATATTAACAAAACTTCTTTATACGAATTATTTAATATAATATAATGTGAAGTATGAATATATATATATATATATATACATGCATTAATAATAATGAGTATAAGTATTAGAAAGTTTCTTCTAAGTTTTATCAGTAATAATATTTGCACTATATCCATAGATCATTCACATCTTTTTTGACTCAAATATTCTAATTTAAAGCAATTAAATGGTTCTAAATAAGAAAGAAATAGCCTCGTTTCTATAAGTTAATTATAAATAGTCCTAAATAGAAAAAAATAACCTCATTTATGTAAGTTAAATGGTCCTAAGTACTGGGGGCGAAGGGAGGGGGGAAATGGTCCTAAGTAGAAAGAAATAGTCTCATATCTATAATTACTAGAAATAGATGGCCCGTGCCAAATGATCCTAAGTACTGGGGCGAAGGGAGGGGGGAAATGGTCCTAAGTAGAAAGAAATAGTCTCATATCTATAATTACTAGAAATAGATGGCCCGTGCCAGCACGGGTCCAACATTTCAAGTAAGGTACATATATGAAGATTGTATATTAAGTATATAACAAGTGTGGCACAATCAAAATTATATATATTAGGTGTGGGAGCCAAGTTTTATAACATAAGTATGTAAATTTTATTTACATAGGCAAAATGAAAGCGATTTGTTATGGACATGCTTGCTGCAGTAACCGAAATTGGCTCCAATCATATTGCAAAATGTAGGTGGCATGGCTTTTCACTGATAAGAAAATTACAATACAGCAGTTAGTTGAATTGTGAGACACTCATATACATAAAATCAATAAGATAAATATTTTCGTCTTGAATGTTTTTCTTTCATAACCAAATTATAAATAAAGTTTGTTGAAAACATAAGATATTTTAAACTGTTCTAAAAAATAATATATTATGCATGTATAATAATAAAATATAAGTATACGAGTTACCGGTTCAGTTATTTCTTTGTTTTTTTGAACAAAATCAAACCAAATCAAAGACTGTTGGTTTTTAAAAGTCTAAACCCAAACCAAAATCAAAATCAAATAAAATCGATTCATTTAATCGGATTGATTCATTTTTTCAATTCTGATAGGTGTTTACCAAAATCATGAACACCCCTACTCTCACTTATAAAATAAGAGAAAATGAATAAATTTCCACTACACTCGTATATTATTCAATTTTAAATTGTGATAACATCAAATGAAGTTAAATTGGGATATTTGCTATTAATATTTGTACTATATTGTTCATCTTGTTTTAATTAAAATCTGATTATAATATTTTTTTTTAAAATTTTCAATTAAAAATATCGTGATTTATATTTAACCAAAAAAATTGCCACATTAAATTTCTCCGACAATAATATATAAATGATAGTATATAATATATGCATACCAAAATAAATTAGATATATCCAACTATTATTAGTTTGAAAAATGAATGAAACGATATAAATACTAATTGTGCCAAAATGGCCAAAGTAAGGAGTGGAGGGCCGACATTGAGGAAATCGAATAAATATTGTGGATAGATATGCAATTAGATGATAAATTTGGGGAAGAAAAGAAAATGAGAAAACGATAACCCTTAATGTTTCGGTCGTTGTTTCACCCCAATTTTCTCTCTCTAAAAAAAAAAAGAAACGAAGAGAAGTGATCTCTCTATTGCCCGACGACTAGAGCAGTAGGGCTTCTCTAACGTCATTCACTCTCTCCCTCTCTCTATATCTCTAGATGCGGCGCACGTTAAACATCGCCGTCATTTATATTACGCCGTCGGAGGTAAGCTCATTATCGTACGCCTGCCTACCTGTTCATTTCATCTGATCCAACGACCCGTTTCTGACCCGCTTTGCATCCAAACCCTAATCTAGCCACTAATACTGTTCAATACCTGTTCTAATCGATTTGTTACCTGTAATAATAAATTTATCCCCATTAAACTGTTACTATCATTTTTTTCGGTCTTGATTTAGGTCGGAGTGGGTACCTAGGGTTTTTGTTTTCTTATTGGATCAATTTTTCAGTGAGATATTGTGGCCGATAAACATCTTTTGGGGCAAGAGAAAACACTGTTATACATACTTTTGATGCGTTGTGGGTTTCTGATATGGCCAATCATGGCGGTGTTGGGAGCAAATTCGTCTCTGTGAATTTGAATAAATCATATGGACAGTCTTCTCATCATGATAATAAATCTTATAGTGGTTCTTATGGCCCAGCCGCCGGTGTCGGCCGTGGGCGGTCTGGTAGCGGAGGTGGAGGAATGGTTGTTCTGTCACGGCATCGGAGTACTCAGAAAATTGGGCCGAAATTATCTGTTCCACCCCCCTTGAATTTGCCTTCATTGAGGAAAGAGCATGAGAAATTTGATTTATCAGGATCCGGTGGTGGGACATCAGGAGGTGGTGGTCAAGGAAATGGGCCGAGGCCATCATCTTCTGGTATGGGTTGGACTAAGCCTGCTGCTGTTGCATTGCAAGATAAAGATGTACATACTGATGGTCAGGTTGTTGATGGTTTGGATCATACTGGGCATGGTATTGATGGCGTCAATCAGGTTAGTGGATCCTATATGCCCCCTTCAGCTCGTGTAAGTGGAAATGGAGCTACAGTTACTGGTCCTGCAAAATCATTTCCTTTGACAGTTGAGAAAGTCTCAGTTTTGAGAGGTGAGGATTTTCCTTCCCTTCAAGCTGCGTTGCCTGTCTCTTCTGGACAGACAAACAAACAAAAGGATAGTTTGAGCCAAAAGCAGAAGCAGGTATCTGGTGAAGGGTCATCTGATGAACAAAGAGACAGTTACAGTATGAGTTCGGTGGTTGATATGCGTCCCCATGGGCACTTTTCACGTCATGCTACTGGAAATGGCCTGGCAGAAAATGGGTATGAAAGTCATGGTTTGAGCAGTGCTCGCAGGGTGGATCAACCTCGGAAGCAGGAAGATTTCTTTCCAGGGCCACTTCCATTAGTGCAGTTGAATCCCAGATTTGATTGGGCTGATGATGAACGTGACACTGGACACGGATTTGCAGATAGGGCCAGAGATACTGGTATTTCAAAAGTTGATAACTATTGGGATAGGGATTTTGATATGCCTCGAACTAGTGTTTTACCCCATAAAGCTGTTCATAACCAATATGAAAGGAGGGCTCCTAGAGAGACCCTACCTGGGAATGGGTTTTCCACTGACCAGAGAGGTGACAGCTATAGCAGGGATCTGAGAACACCTAGTAGAGAAGGTAGGGAAACAAGCACATGGAGGAACTCAATTCATTCTAGAGATGGTAATGTTCCATACATTGCAAACGACAGAAATGCTGTTAGCTCGGGTGGATCTGTTGTTAACAAGGATTTAGGGAAAGATAACAAATATGTTCCGCCACAGTTTGGGGACACTGCTCGTGATGGAAGTTTTACTGGAAATCAGGATTATTCATATGGAAGGAAGGACATGGGTCTTGTTACCGAAGGCAAACAACGCTGGAATCATGCAAATGAATCATCCAACAGTCGAGGGGTTGAGCGCATGAGTCAAGATCGCCTTGGCAGTGAACTGTCCAGCAGATACAGGCGTGATGGATTTCAGAACAACGCTGGGTCAAAATCTTTGTTCTCATCTGTTGGGAAATCACTGCCTCTGGGTGACCCTGGTCTGAATGTGGGCAGGGATAAACATGTTTCAAGGGGTGAAAGGCCATACAGAGAAGATCCATACCTGAAAGACTTTGAATCTGCAGTTTTTGATGAAAGGGACCTCTTTTCTGGAGGACTTGCTGGGGTGATCAAGAGAAAAAAGGATGTGGTTAAGCAGACTGATTTCTATGACCCTGTCAGAGAATCCTTCGAGGCTGAATTGGAGCGAGTTCAAAAGATGCAAGAGCTTGAGCGACAACGAGTTATGGAAGAACAAGAAAGAGCATTGGAGCAATCTCGAAGGGAGGAAGAGGAGAGACAGAGACTGATTAGAGAAGAGGAAGAACGTCGGCTAAAGTTGGAAAAAGAAGCACGAGATACTGCTTGGAGGGCAGAGCAAGAGCGCCTTGATGCAGTAAGAAGAGCTGAAGAGCAGAGAATTGCGAGAGAGGAAGAGAAAAGGAGGATCTTCATGGAGGAAGAAAGAAGGAAGCAGGCTGCTAAACAAAAGCTTTTGGAATTGGAGGCCAAGATAGCCAAAAGGCAGACTGAAGTGACAAAAACTGATACCTTAATTGTCACTACTGATGAGAAAATATCTGCCATGAGTAAGGAAATAGATATTTCAGGGGCATCTGATGTGGATAATTGGGATGAGAGTGAAAGAATGGTGGAACGGTTAACAACTTCAGCATCTTTTGACACAGCCATCTTAAGCAGATCTTCTGATGTAAGTTCCCAGCACTACTCCTCTCGAGAGAGTTTCACAAATTTTCCAGACAGAGGAAGACCTATTAATTCATGGAGAGGGGATGTATTTGAGAATGGAAGCAGCTCATCAATGCATCTACGAGACCAAGATATTGATCATCATAGTCCAAGAAGGGATGTATCTGCTGGAGGCAGAGCAGCCCCCCGGAAAGATTTATCAAGTGCAGCTGGATATTTGGCTTCTGGGAATTATGCCAAAGGTGGACGAGAAGGATATACAGATGAATTTGGCCATCGGAAAGAGCATAGGTGGAACGTTTCTATGGATGCTGATCCATACATCAGGAACAGGGACATGGACACAGAATTTAATGATAATCTTGCAGATAAGTATGGTGATATTGGTTGGGGGCAAACTCGTTCTCGTGGCAATGCTCGCTTCCCTTACCCAGATCGGCTATATCAAAATTCTGAAGCGGATGAACCTTATTCCTATGGTAAGTCAAGGTATGCTGTGAGACAGCCACGGGTACTTCCTCCACCTTCACTCTCTACTATGCAGAAAACTTTCAGGGGTATGAATGATCACTCTGGTTCATCAAACCTTGTTGACAATGAAAGCCATTATCCTCATCCTCGGGGAGGTGAATCTACTAGGCAGACAGGCTATCTTGGTGGCCATCCATCTGAACTGGTTGCTTCCCAGCAAGAGAACGCTATTGCAGAAGACACAAAATTGAATAAAGATATGACCCCAAGATGTGATTCACAGTCTTCTCTATCGGTCACAAGCCCCCCAAACTCTCCTCCTCATCTCTCTCATGATGAGTTGGATGAATCTGGTGATTCTCCTTCAGAATCTGTCGCGGCAGAAGGTAAAAATGCAAGTCTCTCTGGATATGAATGCACTCTCTTAAATGATAATTCTGCAAAGGATGCCATGAAGATGGCTTCCAGCTCTCTCTCAGCCATGGAGGATGAAGACTGGAATGTGGAAGATAATGGTGAATTACAGCAGCAAGAAGAGTATGATGAGGATGATGATGGTTATAGGGAAGAGGATGAAGTGCGTGAAGTTGATGATGAGAATCTTGACCTGAACCAAGAATTTGAAGATCTGCAATTAGGTGAGGGAGAATCATCTCATAATTTAGATAATTTGGTTCTTGGTTTTGATGATGGTGTAGAAGTTGCAATACCTAGTGATGATTTCGAGAGGAACTCACGGAATGAAGAAAGTGTATTTGATAGACCTGAAACCTCTGAAGGTGGATCTATAAATAGGGTTCAAGTTGATGAAAAATGCCTTCATCCTGGTCAAGGGACCCCTGGGGCAAGTTTGGATAGCTCTTCTAACAGGGTCCAGGAAGCTGAAAAAACTATGCAAGAATCTGAGTTTAGACTGAGAACTGAACCTCACACTTCAGCAGCGTCACACCTATTGGATGGTATTGATGCTTATTGTGGCCCTAGCCTATGTGCTCTGCAAACTTTCTCATCTGTTGGCTCCCCATCTTCTGTTGGTCAGACTAGTGTGTCAAGTTTAGCTTCTTCTAGTCAACCTGATTTGCCTGTTAAGCTTCAGTTTGGTCTGTTTTCTGGTCCTTCTTTGATACCTTCTCCGGTACCAGCCATCCAAATTGGTTCCATTCAAATGCCTCTTCATCTCCATCCACCAGTTGGTCCATCCCTTACTCATATACATCCATCACAGCCTCCTATCTTCCAATTTGGTCAGCTCAGGTATTCATCTACTGTCTCACAAGGGATTCTGCCAATCACTGCTCAGTCGATGTCTTTTGGTCAGCCCAATGTGCAGGCTCATTACAATACCAATCAAAACTCCGGATGTTCTATGCCTCCCCAACTTTCTCAAGATGCTTCTACTTCTAGTCTGGTGAAAGTCAATGTTCAATCTCTTTCAGCAAATCAGGGACATGGTTTTCTAGTGAGACCTCATGACAGTAAGGCAGTACAAGGAAGTGCAGTAAGCAAAGCTCTTACAGCCAACATTGCGGGGATTGCTGATGCTAGTGGTAGAAAACTTATCTCGGAGTTAGATATCCAAGTTGAAGCTAAGGGCTTGAATAATGCAGTTAGGCATGTGCAGCCATCTAAGGAGAATGGATCTGATGGCAACCCGTCCTCTGCGCTGCCATCAATTCAGTCAGTTTCTAATGAGAGAAATTCTGCCGGGGGCAGGGCTCAAGGCCAATCATACAGCAACAAGGGGAAAAGATTCACGTATGCTGTAAAAGGTTCTAATTCGAGGTCATCTTTCCCAACTTCTGATGGTCCTTATTCTGAGTCGAGTAGATTTCAAAGACGACCTCGTCGGACAGTTCAGCGAACTGAATTTCGAATCCGCGAAAATTCAGATAGTAGGCAATCATCCAGCAGTGGTTTTTCTAATGACTCTGGTCATGGTGATAAGTTAAATCACGGTGGGAGAGGTGCCACAGCGGTTCTGGCAAGAAGTGGATCAAAGAGAGGATCCTTTTCTAGTAAGCTACTGAAGCAAAATGTGGAGTTAGATTCTAAGTCAGCAAATGTTGATTCTCAGGAGGTTGACTCTAGTATCAAGCCAAGCAAGGATGACGGAAGGGCATCACTGCACAAAAATCAGAATATTTCCCACACTGACGAGGGAGATCTAAAAAGGAACATATCTGTGGAGGATGTTGATGCTCCATTGCAAAGTGGTGTTGTACGTGTTTTTAAACAGCCTGGCATAGAAGCACCCAGCGATGAAGATGACTTTATTGAGGTCAGGTCTAAGAGGCAAATGCTGAATGATCGGCGAGAACAAAGAGAAAAAGAAATCAAGGCGAAATCCCGTGTTTCTAAGGTATCACGACTTACCACCCATGTTTCTAAGGTATTTATGCGATGTTATTTGTTAACTTTTTTTAATCATGTTCTCAGCCTCCACGCAAACCTCGGACAACCAGACAGAGTACTGCAATTTCAACTAGCCCAAATAAAATCTCGGCATCTGTGGGTGGAGAAATATCAAATAAGAGTAACTATTCAGATATTATTGCTTCAGAGGCACAAGGATCTGCTTATAAGGACGTGTCCACTGGATTTACTGCTGTGGCGTCACAGCCACTGGCTCCAATTGGAACGCCTGCAGGGAGCAATGGATCTCAGGCTGATAAACAATTTCATACAGCCAAGTATGTGTTCTCTAGAAGCAAAATATAGCCAAAGAACCTCTTGACCTCCTGAAATGCTTATGCGGATGTTGTTTGTTTACTTCTACAGGTCCCACCAAACTACCTCAGGTGGCGGTGTGTCTGCTGGTGGAGATGACCTTGAGCCAGGCTTGGTGTTTGAGAGCAAGAAAAATACAGAGAATGTTACATCATCACCTCTAAACTCTTGGGGTAGTGGACAGATCAATCAACAGGTATTCTCTTTTGTCAGGTGTTGTACCTCTCAATAACTGTGATGTTTTATGCAGCCATGTTAGACGGCTTCCAGTTAGATCACTGTCATTTCTGTTGTTAAATTGTATTCTGATTGAATGTGCTACAAAAAGTTTGATGCTGGATTTGCTAACTTGATTGTAAACAACGTAGTTCCATTGGGCACCTATACTCCCAAAAGTTTCCACTGTGATATTTTGCTTCCTTGTTTATCCCTCTGCTATCACTTTATTGATTATTGATTTTTTCCTCTTTCAAACCTAAAAATGGTGTGACTAATCTTTTCCAGATTATCAATATAGTATTAAAAAAATACTTCATATCTGAGCCAAAATTCCAACACAATTTCTTTCTTGAACATCAGCTAGGTAATGTTTTATTTTGTGACTGGATTATGTTATCCGTGTTTTTATAAATGATACTGGATATTGACAATTTAACCCTTAGTTATTGGTAGCGCTGTTGTTCGTTGGCCGTTTGTTTATTAGATTGTTGACTATGAGATCTCTATACTTTATGGTTCATTGTTCCTGTAATTGTTGGCTCCGAGAAATTTTCTGACTCACTTTGGCATAGGTTATGGCCTTGTCACAGAGCCAACTTGAAGAGGCTATGAGCCCTGCTAGGTTTGAAGCACATGCAGCTTCTGTTGGAGCTCACAGTAGTGCAGTCACTGAGCCCATCTTACCATCATCATCCATCTTAACAAAGGACAAATCTTTTTCTTCTGCTGCAAGTCCAATCAACTCCTTGCTTGCTGGTGAAAAAATTCAATTTGGTAACCTGCCTTGTCATCTCATATGTATGTATCTCAAGTTATGATTATTTTATACGTATAATCTAATCCCTCCGCTTACCAGGTGCTGTTACATCCCCAACCGTCCTTCATACTAGTAGTCGTGTTGTTTCACATGGGATTGGAGCTCCAGGGTCTAATCGATCTGAAGTACAAATTTCCCGTAATATTTCTCCAGATGAAAGTGATTGTACCCTTTTCTTTGAGAAAGATAAACGTGCAAATGATCCATGTCTAAATGTACAAGATTCTGAGGCTGAAGCAGAAGCAGCTGCTTCTGCTGTTGCTGTAGCAGCTATCAGCAGTGATGAAATTGTCGGGAATGGACGTGGCTCTGCTATTTCAGAAGCTAAAACTTTTGAAGGTACAGAATTTGCAATGCCCAAATGTGCTTTGTTTATCATCTGATGGTTCTGACAGTTGCCTGTATTAATCAGTCTGTGTTATGGCAGGTGATCAGCAATTGAGCAGCCATTCACGGGCAGAAGAGTCTCTTAGTGTATCTCTTCCTGCTGATCTCAATGTTGAGACTCCTCCGATATCATTGTGGCCGCCCCTACCAAGTCCCCAGAATTCTTCGAACCAAATCCTATCTCATTTTCCTGGTGGCCCGCCGTCACATTTTCCTTTCTATGAGATGAATCCCGTGTTGGGCGGTCCTATTTTTGCCTTCGGTCCACATAAGGAGTCGGCTGGCTCCCAATCACAGTCACAGAAAGCTACCGTGTCTAGCTCAGGTCCACTTGGTGCATGGCAACAATGCCATTCTACGCTAGACTCATTCTACGGTCATCCAGCAGGGTTCACTGGCCCTTTCATAAGCCCACCGGGAGGTATCCCTGGAGTTCAAGGTCCGCCACACATGGTGGTCTATAATCATTTTGCTCCAGTTGGACAGTATGGCCAGGTTGGATTAAGCTTTATGGGTACCACTTATTTACCTTCTGGAAAGCAGCCTGATTGGAAGCACACACCCTCATCCTCCCCAATGGGCATCACTGAGGCGGATATGAATAATGTAAATATGGCTGGTTCTCAGCGAAATTTATCGAATATGCCTGCTACCGTCCAGCACCTTGGTCCTGCTTCACCAATTATGCCCATAGCTTCTCCTCTGGCCATGTTTGATGTGTCTCCTTTCCAGGTAAGGAATGCCATACCATCATTGATGTTAACAAAAAAAAGGGCTTGTAGAATATTTCACCCCATCGTAGTGGAGTATACTTGTCTATTTTAGTTGCTCACTTCTTTTTGATTTTGAAATAGTCATAATTGTCTTCATTTCTTTCATCTTGTGTTGAACTTATTGATTAATTTCTAAGAATATAGACTCTGTAATGCCTTAGATTTTTGTTATATGATCTATTAGTGCAAGCAGTTCTCTCATATAACATTTTACTTTGCTTTTGGTTTCAACTCAGTCTTCACCTGAAATGCCAGTCCAAGCTCGCTGGTCTCATGTCCCTGCATCGCCTCTTCATTCTGTTCCCATTTCTCACCCCTTGCAACAGCAAGCTGAAGGTGTATTGCCTCCTAAATTTGGGCACGGTCATTCGATTGATAAGTCATTGAATACCAATAGGTTCTTGGAATCTCATCCTCCAGAATCCTCTGATGGTACCCCCAGTTTTACCGTTGCGACAGTTGCCAATGCAGCTCAGTTTCCTGTTGAAATTGGTCTTGGAGATTCCTCCAAGTTGGGGGCTACTGGTGGTTCTGCTCAGAGTCTGGCCAGTCAAAGCTCCTCTGGATGTGCTAATGCAGATGCTGGCAAAATTGATGCTCTCAGAAATGGCGTCAGCAACAGTGGTAAAGATCAAGGTGTCAGTGGTTTCAAAACGCACACCCAGCAGAAGAATACCTCTGCAGGCTACAACTATCACAGGGGTGGTGGAATGTCTCAGAGAAATATGGCTGGAAATGATTGGTCCCATCGCAGAATGGGTTTCCATGGCAGAAATCAGTCCTTGGGTGTGGTTCCATCTACTAAGGTGAAACAAATATACGTGGCTAAGCAAACCCTTGGTGGGACAAAAACCACGGGAGGAGAAAACCACATGGTTGCTTAGAGATCTTGATAGGTAAGGAAAGATCTGTTATGAGTATTATGTCAGTGGGACAATCAAGCTAGTTTTGGTACCTTCTTGCATTTATGGCCTCTGAAAATAACTTAATTTGGACTTTAGATAATTGGTTGGTGATTATAGTGATCCTCTCAATTTTGTCCGGAATATGGATTTACTAAGTTGTGGTTTGGCTGCTGAGATTTGAAATTAAACCTTGTGCCCGGCTGTTATCTGCAAAATTTTCGTCAACTGCTTATTGCTTTGGCTTCTATTCTTTGATTTAGTCCCTTGTTGGTATTTGTTAACTACCAGAACTAAAGGAACAAGCTATTTGTTAACATTAGTAGAATGCTCTTGTTTTGCTTTCCAACAGCTTGTGTTAGCTAGCCTGGAAACTGGAAGTGGAAAATGAATGTTTGGAATTTTACTCAGTCATCGTCACTGTATGATAACTAAGTGGTTGGATGCCTGCTCGACTAGATCAACAGTACTCGACAAGTGATTCATGCAGGGACTAGGAGTTCTCTTAGTACTGTTTTGTTGCTGCAGTTTCTTTTATTAAATTTTTTGTCTTAAAGTTTCTCTATTAGGGGACAGTTTCACTATTTTAACTCTGGTAAGTGTTGTTAAATGAAAAATGATTTTTCTGCATTTAAGAGCAATGCAATCTGAGATTGCGCATCTCAGGTTTCTGGGTATGGCGAGTCTATTGCTCATGTCTCAATTGTTCCAAAAAGAAAGTCATGTTTTTTGTAATTATGAACAATTTAACTTGAGAAAATCTCTTTGTATCCAAATAAAATGATTTATAGTAATGCAAATGGTCAAGGAGTATTTTTTTTGTCACAAATATCACCAATCTCCTTTTTTTTAAAACGTGTGTCAACTCAAACAATGTCACCTGCTAGTTTTGACATGCTTCTTTAAATTAAACATTAAGCGTCCTCGCAATTACCAAAATGAGTATTAAGTGAAATTGTTGAGTTGTACTAGAACTAACTTGGATTGAAATTTGAAACACACATAAGCTAGTTTGGTTACTTCCATTACATCTTTTTTTAAATTTTTTTATAAAACAGCATGCCAACTGAAACACAACCAATTCAACTGATAATTAATAATGGATTAAGTAGCAATCAAACACTCGTTATTTCTTCTACCATAAGACGATCGCCAACCTTAACAGAGGTTTTTGCGTTTTGAATTAGCACATTTAGCAAATTGGGTTGGAGAAATAGTTTTTGATAACAATTTTATCATCTTGAGAAGGTCGAGATATACTTTTTTTTTCAACATTTATCATTGGATCTTCTTAGTCAGGTTTGGAAGTAACGTAATGATATTATGCGTCCTAATTAACTTAAGATGGAGTGAATTGGGTTATACTTATTTTCGCCTAAGTGATGACTGGGTTACTTTACTTTGTGAAGTGCTTTAAAAAAGACAGTTCTTTTTACGTGGAAAAACACCCGGCTCACAAGGGTGAAAAAAACCACGACCTACACCTCTGTAGGATTTTCCCCCAAATTCACTAAAATAAGTGAGCCTCAATAATATTTAAATTACAAGAGTTGCAACCTAGGAACTAACTATATGCAACAACCTTAACAGATTGTTGCTTCCCTCTTCAAGTTATAATACCCTTAACTTGAAGCCAAGTTTTCCTATTTTGTTTATCCCTAGCTACGCAGTTGCTTTTAAAAAGCTGAAATAGTACAACTCGATCATCACCTAATACAAGAATTCTAGACCCAAAAACCATCAAGTATGAAACAAGTTCTTCAATCGTATTAGACAACAAGTCAGAACTTCTTCTCAAATATACTCTTGCTTATTTGCTTGAGTTCAGCCTTTAGCTCTCAGTATATATCGAAACGTACGATTTGCGCTTTTATACTCGTACGTGAAAGTTCGGTTGATCACAAATACCATGTAAGATTAAACCCATCTTGTAGTAATGTTTAGATGAGGACAACTTCTCCTGTCTATCATCAAAACTTCATTAGATCTGATAAATATAAATTGTGTTAAATAGATATCATGAGTATGAATTAGAAAAGTATATTTATTATTAAGAAAAATAGACTTTAATATGGCATGAAGAGAATGATAGTTTAATAGATTTTTGAAAAACATAATAATATATAGTTGAATTATTTTATCAATTAAAGTAAATTTAGTAGGCAAATTGTAAAATGTTGACAAGTTGGATGACTTTTCGAGGGAACTAACTTCACTCATTTTATATTTTTTTTGGACGAAAATAAATGATTGCAACCTTAACACTTTAGTACAAAATACTTAAACAAGAAGATAGTATTTGCTACCACTCCGTACTAGCCACCTAAGAGTAAAGTAGTCAAAGAAAGAGAAGAAAACAACAACAAAAAAAAAAACCTGCAAAAGAAGAAGAAGATATTTTTCAGATAAGACAAAAACCATAAAAGTAGAAATTTAAGAATCAGAGGGGCGTATCCTGTGTGATAAATTTGACAAGCCTATCATCTTCCAATGTGGCCCAAAAGTCATCACCAATATCCATACTGTTTTCACCATTGTTATAATGATCAGTAGCCACTGCAACTTCATTACCATTTTGGCCATCTTCCACTATCACCATTGGGGAAGTAGTGTTGTCATCATCAATATATTCTGTGATAGGAAAGTTGGTTTTGGCCTTTCGACCTCTAAATTCTACGGCTTTTATGTCATAAGCTCTAGCAGCATCTTCGGCAGTAATAAAAGTACCAAGCCAAAGTCGTTGGGCTTTATGCGGGTCACGTATTTCCGCGGCCCATTTTCCCCATGGCCTTTGTCTCACTCCCCTAAATTCCTTCTTCGTATTCCTCCTCCTCCTCTTCTTCTTCCCGCTTTCCAGAGTAACAGAGTCGTCCACATTAATAGTCCTACGTGGCATTGAATTATCTGACGTGGCTGCATTTTGAACTTCCCACAAAAGCTTAGCAGCTTCTCCGTCCGCCCGACCATCAGCGGCGGCGCCTGAGAAAACATGTTTGAGAGCTGACACCATGTAGTGAGATTCTTGTTGATGAGTCAGTTTGTGAGTAAAAGTACATTTACTCTCTTCACATAAACTATGCATTCTTTCCCTGTCTAGAAAATAGAAAATGAAATTTGTTGTTGTTAAATGAAAGAGGAGTGTGGGCGTATTTATAAGACTAGTATATATAGAAATAATATTTTGTTTTGGGGTGAGCTGGAACACTAGTCAGACACGAGGTTGACTTTGGTGTAGGCCACGTATAAGTATTAAATCATTGCATTCAACTCTCTTTAATGACGTGCCTATTTTTGGAAGAATTGGTCCATGTGACGAAAGCCTCTTTACACTTAACAGCAAACCATTCTTTCTAATAAAAGAAATATGTAGTATTCGTAGCTTCTAAATTAAAATATGCATTTGGAACCTTCTATATTTAAGAGCTTCCTTCATTCGGAGGTATCTACGGAACATTCTATTTTTAAAAAAAATTTGTATATACATGCTCATCTTAAGTACTAAGTAACTTAATTAATTCAAAATTATTTTTTAATTTGTATTTGCAAGGAGTACTTAAAAGTGTACTATTCCAACTTACTTTTATTTGTTAATTATATTTAAAATAATTTTACTAATACATAAAAATAATATATGCATTATTTACTAAATGATCCTTACGAGTATATCAAATAAATATTGGACAAGTAAGAGTATATATAAACTCTTAATTACTAATTTTTAGTATAAAAAGGTTTTACATATCTTAAAGATGTCTGTACATGAATAATAACTTTTATACATAGAATGTTAAAGGTAAGACAAGTTATATATTATATTTTATATTATATAGTAGTAGAAATATTTTATTTTGGTTGGGTGTGCGAGCGGTTAGCCATCTTTATGCCACTTGTGTCTCCAATCTGCTGAGCCCAAGGAAGTGTCACGTTGAGGTTTGACATCAGCAGAATTAACGTGGTCTTTCTTTAGAAAAAACTCAGTAACATGTCAAATATGCACTTGACACCGCAACATTCTCGTATTCCTAGAATTAGGACATGTAATTATCGAAGGTTCCAGACGGAACCGCAGATGGAACTTGGAAGCTTCTACCATACGTCATCAAGAAGTATTACTTTTTTCCTTTCAAAATAACTTGTTAATTTTAAGACATGAAGTAACATCATTTTTTTCTTTCCTTTAGAAGGTCTAAATTAAAAATGTCATTTATTTTGAAATAAAGAAATTATTTTATAATTATGTGGTCTTAATTAAATATCCACGCTATTCATGTATTTGAAACGGTAACATTATATAGGATATAATGTTAATGTTGGTTGATCGAACATTTCGCTCATTTATATTATATATATAATGTTGATCGTAGTATTATTATTCGATAAATTGCATTTAGTTTTGGTTAATATTATTTTATGACGTTACACTTTGATAACAATTCTTCGTTTCAATCATTCTATTTTAATTTTGTATGCATTATCTTATCTATATCCTACTATTTTCTTGAAGATATTTAAGTCTAAATTATTTGCACTGAAGCATCACTATCCAATTCATTCCAACTTCAATAGAATTCTTCTTAAGTTGACTAAATGACAACCAATTTCAAAAGTCAAAAAGTGTTTTTTATTCAAACTTCACAATATGATTTTGTAGTAGTTTTCAAAGGGCCATAAAGGCATGAATGCTAAATGTATTAATCTGAGACACTTTATTAAAAAATTGAGACCTTCCTACGCAAAGTTGAGTCAATTCACTAGAAAAGTTCTTTTACGTCTTTTACGCATAGTCAACTTATGTTTTAAATTTTTCACGTGTTCAATCAAATATAAAAAATATTTAGAAATCTTTTATTATTGTTGGTATAGCTAAATTTTATAATAGATTTTACATTTTCTCTAAAAGAAGAGAATCTACGCCGCCTTCGATTCTTTTCTTGTTTGTACAAAGATAGTATCTCTCTGAGTATAAAATATCAAAAATTGAATTATTGAATCAAATTGAATTTTTTGGTAATTCGGTAATTAATTCGCTATTTGATATGACATTCAAAAGTAAAATTTTAGAATAATGGTATTCAGATTTTATATTTGGTATGAGACATGAATATCATTTGATATTCGATATTTCATGAATACCGAATTATTTACTTAATGAAAACCATATCTCAATAGGCCCATTGCTCATTAGAACAAGTCCAAAGAGAAAGTTAAAATTAAAGACTAAACATAAACAACCCAAATGCATGTCTTTTAGTTGTATC